CAGCGAGAACGGCGGCGGCGACCACGACTACGCGCTCCCCGTCTCGGCGGAAGGCGCGGCGGACAAGCGGCCCCCTTCGTCCGGCAGCCCCGGCGGCGTTTGCCTCCACGTGGACCGGGACCACGTTTCCGTGGAGTTTTGCTCTCTCTGCGCCAGGCGGGCGGCCAGCTCGGAGACTTGGGCGGCCGCCGCGGCGGCTCCTCCTGCTCCCTCCTTCGTCTCTAAAATGTAGGGTCAAGTATTTCCACTTCTTCGGTCCTACGCAGAACTAATACTTCGGGTGTCTGCCTGCGATCATCCAGGGGGTGCTAGCGGAGGATGCAGTTAGGCGAGAAAGAGGAGGAAGAGGATTTAAAAAGAAAACAGATATGGGGAAAGTGAGAAAGCTGGCCTGTTGGTAGAGCCTTCTTTTCTTAGTGGAGGGGGAAAATACAGACTTTCACCTCTGTGTTTGAGGATCATCTTTCCGTGTCAGTGTGTGGCGTAGAGTACGCCACAGTGTTGTAACTGAAATGTTCTCAGGCACGTTGATCAAAACAGCTCCCACGCTGAACTGCAGAATGGCACACTTGAAAGCAGGTAGACAGTTGTGGTAAGAGTGATGGCCTGAAGTAGCTCTAGTGTCCCATGAAGTGAATAATGGTGGTAGATAAAATCTAGCCCGCTCTGCTGCTAAGAAGCTGAAAAATGCATAAACTTCAACATCTTCACTGGAGAGACTTAACGTCAAAATAGTAATAATGCACAGCAGGCAGTTAAAAACATGCATGTGAAATTGTAACACATCTGTTATACATTACTATTAAACTTTTCTGACAGTTTCTCTTTTAGGTGCTTGCCCTGCCAGGCTCCGTTGTGTAGGGGTTAAAAGAACAGTCGTTTACCACCTCGCAACCTGGTAAGGATCCATAATATTCCCGTAATGTGGTATCAGACAGTTTGCATTGGTGCTTAGCCTTTTTTTTAAAAAAAAAAATATTTGGTCTGGTCCAGTAGTTAGAAGTAGCTCTGGAGGCATTTCCTAGACTTAGTTAATCCTGATTAATCAAGTTTCAAGTTATTCAAATTAGCACTACCTTTCCCTGTCATTCTAAATTTTTAGCACGTTCCTGACAAGACACTTGTAGAAACTGTTTTATGTAACATTTCCAAAATAATTTTTTTATTGGAAAAGAAATGCTGCTAAATGTACATTTAGCAATGTGTTGTGTAGAGAAAGGGGAATCAAAACCAGTTCCTTGACTGGGCTGATGTGGGTGTATTTTTAAAGGAATAAAATATGCCTCAACATTTACTTTAGAACCTGGACATTTCTAGTGGAGTAAACCACTAGATTTTGCAGTTTTGACACTGTTCAGTAATAAGCCAATTGCTGTAAGCTTTCCCATTTAATAAGGGATGGACTATTTGTCCAAATACTTGGCTGTTCAGTTACTATAATAATGTTGTGTCCTTATTTGCAAGGAAGTGACTATACTGACAGATTCTGTTTTAGTAATGTCAGTGTTCTTTAACTACATAGCTGCATGCATTTTGGAGACTACAATACATAGAAATATTTTAGTCTAGTGATTTTTTTTAGTTTTGCCTCATGTAGGTCTCTTAAAGTGGCACCTGCATTTCACTAAACTGTACTAAAATGAAAATGGCATGCTTTCCCAAAGTTAATAAGGTAAAAGTAAATGAACAAATATTCCTCCCCACATTTATGCAATTGTTCCTGTCTAGAGTTGAGGAAGATTTTCTGCTGACAAACTCATACTGGTTTGGGGGCCAGCACATTTGTTTTTCCTGCATCAACTATTTCTGTTGTGTTAAAATGCTTTATATTTAAACTTCTGTAAATTGGGGAAATAAGGGTTGTGAAATAATGTAAAGTGAGGTTTCACAAAGAAGGTTAAACCTGGAAAAATCATTTGCCTCCATAAAAGAGGCTTCCTCTTACCTTATATTTGTCTTAATATTTGTGTTGAATTAGAAACAAATGAATGTTTCTCCTATGAACGAAATACGTAATCCTCAAAGTCTGTTGCAATCTTTGTATGTTCAACAAGATTTTCTTTGTGAAACCTTGCTGTTTAATGAAGTATGTGTATATTTAGCATCCTTGTTTTTCTTTATGCTGAAGTGGATACAGCTGTCATGGGGCAGAAGAGACGGGACCAGCTGCTGGCCACCTTTCCTGCTTTATTTTAAAAGGTAGTATGAGAAAAAGGGAGCAAGGTAACAGGGCATTGGCTGTATTTCACTTTGAAAGAACACTGAACAGGGTAATGTTAATATTTTGAGCAACTAATCCAATCTATCAAGAAATTAAACATGATACTAATGTGAAACATGGCACTATTAAAAAAAAAGCATTTGCTTTCTCACTGGTCATTTCATGTATTTGTATTCTTGTCTGATTGGCTAAATTCTTCAAACTTGTATTCATGTATCAGATAATTAGCTTCATAAAACCCTGAATTTTCCAAGATATAATTAGGATTGCATTGAAGAGGATTTTAATTCTCTTTTAATTGATGCAGCTGTTCACCCTTCTATTGTCACATTTGCTATGCAGGTGTACATATTCCCATCTCTAAACCACTAGGAGCCTTTGTACAAGAAAAATGGCAAGTATTTTCTTAAGGTAGCTGCAGCATTGCAGGAAACTAACTTCATTTCTTGATATTACCCCATACTTAATAACAGTGGTCTTCTAAATAAATGTAATAGTCCTTGCCGGATGATAAACTTAAATATGAAAATGTGGACAAGGAGTTTCTCATTTTAGTTTTTAATTATGCTTCAGTATGTTTTAATGGAAGCAATTTATTGCCCACAATTCCTTTATTTACTCTCATAGAACTAGATAGAATTTAGTGAAGTCCCTTTTTTCTGTTGCTGATAGCATTTGGCCAATGGGAGGAGAGATTTGTGACGCTTACTTGACTGTGGTATTTCAAGAAACAAATGCATTTTTAAATTGCCTTTCACAGAAGTCATTTAGTTAATGTTGCATTTATTGTGAAATTGAAACTTCTTTTGTATGATTTAAAGAATTTGTCAGATAAAAAAGTATTCTGGGTACGTAACCTTGTGTGTCATTGAAAAATAAACTGTTGCCTTGAATACCATTCTCAGCATAGAAAGTGAGTGACACATCTGCTTAGCCGAAAGCCCAGAAATAAGACTTGCAGGGATTTTAGTGCCTACTGAAACATATTCAAGCCAAATAGATTTGCAAATATTTTGTCCTTCTTGTTAACCAGTTGATTGAATATTATTGAACATTTCCTGAAATTAAAGCCTTGAACTGAATATCCTAATAGTACTTCAAAAATATGTGAATGTTTCTGTGTAAGTAATTCAGACGTACTTATGAGGACATTTATTCTGATTAAAAAATGTTTATCTTTCAGTCAAAGACTCAAGGTTGTTCTTTATCTTAAGTCACTTAATTTTATTTCTATAAAATAATGCTTTGGCTATGTGGCTCATTCAGAAATGGTTTGTATGGTATCAGAGCTATATTATAGTTTCATAAATATAATGTGTGTATTTTTCTGGTTGGGGATGGATTTATATTAGTGTCCAGCGTGTTCTTCCTGTGATTGGCAACGCTCTAGCTGTATTGATTTAGGATGGTTTAATTTTCTGTATCATTTTTCATCAAGTGCTCCCAGTATGGTGTACCCAACATAAAAATTACAAAAGTAAAAACAAGAATTGACTATTTATTTTAGTGTAGAAAGTAACCACGTATTTCAGCCATGTCTTTTTGCTCAGGTTATGAAAAATTTATTGATATCGTATATATATTTCCATGCATGAGAATAATAGTGATATAAGTAATATGAGGCAGTTAAAATAAAACCACCTGTTTTAATAGATCTTAATGATTCTGATTTTTCAGCCACTGTTTGTTTAAAAATATACATGAATAAAAGATTAAAAAACAATGACAAGTTTTAAATAACATTGGGCAAAAGCAATCTTTCTGCATTTTTATATCTATGACTTTGACAATGTTGGTCATTAAAAAAATTAAATATGTTCAGTGAGGGAACATGCAGCTATGACTGAATTATATCAACCTGCCAAATGTATTATGTAGTTCATACTTTTTTCACCCTTTATACAGGTAGTCCTTGACTTATGACCACAATAGGGACTGGAAAATTCATCGTTCAGCGCGGCTTAACATGAGGCATCACATGACTGCACCCGCTTTTATAACCTTTTTTGCAGCATTATTAAGTAAATCACCATGGTCATTAAGTGAGATATCACATGACTGTGACTTGCAACCTTCCCTGATGGCTTCCCCATTGACTTTGCTTGTCGGAAGCTGGCAAGGAAGGTCACAAATTTTGATCACGTGACTGCAGGATGCTGCAATTGTCATAAATGCATGACGGTTGCCAAGCGCCTGAATCATGATCATGTGATTGTGGGGACACTGTGACAGTCGTAAATGCGAGGACCAGTTGTAAATCTCTTTTTTCAGTGCCGTCATAACTTTGAATGGTCGCTTTACGAATGGTTGTAAGTTGAGGACTATCTTTATTTTTTTTAGGAGGGAATTACTGGAAATAGATTGATGATGGGAAATTTTTTTTTTCCTGTATTTGTAACAAGGTTGTTACATGGTTCCATGCATTCTAGTTCTTGATGTGCCATAAATTCAATATGCTATCATCCTAGCTGCTCTTCTTCCATGGAACTCAAGGCAAATTTATTTGTTTTTCCCCATTTACTTTCTCTCCCTGGAAAAACTTTGTGCAATAAATAGGCCCTGTGATACTTACATATAGCTGAATGAAAATGCATGTGCTTACTTCGAACAGACTACTATGTACTTGTGGAAATAATAATTTACTAAATTTAAATGCTGCATGACTCTGGGTGGTTTACAATTGTTAATAATAATCTGTTCAGCATAAGCGCAAATTTCAGTAGTATAATGGGGTAAGGCATCAAATGGGTTTCTGGCATAATCCTGACTTGAACACAAGAATTGACTAAATTGTGTGTTTTTTCTACATTTGCAATTATTTTTTGATTAAATGTTTGTGGCTAATGGGTTCCACTGGAACGTCTACAGATGTGCTACATGAGTGCCTGAGTTATTCAGTTGTCAGAAAACGTTTAATCTTAGTAGGAATGCTTAATGGATGAACAAAAATACATTTTCACAGCTCGTTATTGCTTAAATGACACTAATTGAAATTTAGATAATATAGACTATCTTCTAAGAGATATATCAAGCAAAAGGTTTTGGCAGCCTGATTAAAAACTCATTTATAATTTGTGTATTACATGTTCTACTAGTATGTGCTCGGGTATACAGTATTGGACAAAGTTATAGAATTTCCAATTTCCCCGAAGAGGTTATTTTTTCTAACCCAAATGGTTGTTTACTTACATTTTTATCTGATATAAAGAGTACAGGAAATAAGATGCGTGTGTTTCTGAACCATGTTCATGTTGTTTAAGCATGTATTACATCAAATTAGGAACAGAGCTTCTGTGCATTATTACACTTCTAAACTATGAAGTAAATGCATGTTCCTGTTAACATTGCAAATTAATTTTTGTTTGTCTTTCTTTTAAACAGTTTAGTACTGTCATAGGAGACTTTCATTTTTCTCTGTAACTACCAGGAGAGATGGTATCAAACTAATTGTGAAGAGCCATGTCTCAGACAGACATCCATCAAAATGTATACTCTTGAGTTTCTACCATTTCACCAAAACCATGTTTGATAGTGTTTGGACAGATTTTTAAATGCCCTCTCCCAATTCTTCCCTCAAAGCCATACACAAACAGACCTCCCCCGCCCAACCTTTTAGGTAAGCATTATCCTGATTTTAACATTTCATTAAAATAGTTTGATATTACCAAAACAGCACTTAATTTAATTTTATTCATAGAATTAAAGTTTGAAGCAGCCATTTAAACATTTGGGGCCAATACTTCGCTAGTATTGAGAGTGACACATATCTATGCATTTTGGTTTTTTCTCTCAATACCACAAAAACATAGTACCTATAGCTGACATTTTGTCATTTTTTATGCATAAAAGGATGTTTATATTAAGTACTGTTCAGGCAGTGCAGTAAATTTCAAGAAATATATGTAGTATTTGCCAAGTGGCATGTAATTTTCATTAGTATTGTTTTGGGGCTGGGCATTGCTAATATACAAATGAACAAAATACTTGTATAGACTAGATAATGGTTCTTTTATTTAAGAATTCCAAGTCAGGATTGTTTAGGAATGAGAAAAGATGTTTCTGTTGAAATGTACTCTTTATGCTTTAGATTTGTATGCAAGATGAGTTATGCTGTATCCGATGTCCTGATCAAATGAATTAAGGAGGTGCAAAAATATGTTGTGCTCAAACTTTTTGGCCCATAGAGAATGAAACATAGCTATTTTGTTCAAGAAATGGACCAGTGGGATGTTCTGGGCAGCAGCAGCAGCAGCAGCAGCAGCAGCAGCAGCAGCAGCAGCTTAAAGGGCAAGACTGGGGAAAAGCCCAGGACAATGATTACAACTAAGGGGAAGGAGGGTGTTGGGAAGATTGTGGGTGAGCATGCCAGCACAGCACACTATGCCACACTAGGAGTCTGTTCCTTGCCCCCATGACAAGGGAAAGGCATACAGGCCACTGTATCACTTGTGGCTGAAGGGAGGTGATGGGAAAAATGGATACGTGGACCAGTGGGATACATCATGCTGAAGGGACAAAGCGCAACCTTGCTATCCTCACCTTGCAAAACAGAAGCATTCCAGGTTCTGCTTCTGTCAGGACTAAAATAAAGTGGTTTATTTTGGGTTTGAAACAACATTTTGCATTTCGTGCAAAATTAACTTACTATATCTAGCTTTTTCTGGTTGAAGAACTGAGAACATGGCACATACTTGGATGTATATTAATTTTAACGTAATTAGAACTACATTGAGTAAAAAAGATACTAAAGGCAAGCTTAAAAAGCAGTCATAACTATGGGCTTCTTCAAGTAGGTGTCCATAAATGGCACTTGTAAGCATTTCAGCTTTGGAGCACATAAAAAGCATTGAGAGCAGACCTGGGCAACCAGTGGACATCATATGGCCCCTCAGCACCCTGCTTATACCTCCCTGCATTATGTCACTAAAAGCTGGTGGCAAAATGATTGGCTTTGGTCTGCTTTTGAGTAGGGCCAGTTTGCTTCTGGAGGTCTTGAGTTTCCCTCCCAATTTTGGAAAATTTGCAAAACAGTTGAAAACCTTGCCCTGTTAATAATTTTCGTGCAGCGTGACTCCCCATAACAGGAAGGCAGGGGATTGTCTGAACAGTCACACAGGCATTAGATGCAGTGTCGTGATTTCTCTACGCCCTCCCCCAGCCTTGTGACACACACAAAAAGATGCTGAAGGCCTAGCTGATGCTAAATGCAAATGTATCCCTTGACAATAGTTCATTTATGCGCTTGAGGCCTTAAATGCTCCCTCCCACCTGTGGGATAACTTTATTTGACAACAGCACATCTTTTGAGAATTAGAGCTGCCATCCTGGCTTAGGTTTTAGGAGATACAAGATACCACTTAAAAATACAGTTGATAGGGTAAGCAAGTGCAGTAACATGACCCAAATAGGAGCAGTTGGGTACAGTGGGAGCCTGATGGAGATAGACCCAGTGTCCACTGGGAGGGTGGGCGGCTGCTGCTTTGGTTCACTGGGCCTGCCATTAAGCAGATTTAGATTTACAGCTATGATGTGCCAGAATTATTATTCCCTTTGCCTAATGTCATGAATGTAGACATTTAATTTGGAATAGATATATCCCACCAAGTTTGAAGCTGAACTAACAACTCTCAAGCAATTGATTTGCTTAAGAATTCTGACCTATGAGATCCTGCAAAAAAAGTTCTAGTGTACAGTTGCTTCTGATGAAAGTGCCAGCTGTATGATTGTTTCCCTATTGCTATCTGTTAGTGTTTTTATTCACTTAGGTTCAGTTATTGTTGAACTCTTGCACTGAGCTGGCCTCCATTTTATTTTGTATTGGGGAAATAACAGAGAAATACTTGTGTCTAATCTCATCTCTGCATATCAGCAATCTATGCTAGGTCACTAGAAATATTTTTCAGTATTCTTCACATGGCCCAGGAAGGGATCTATGCATTTGATGTTGTGTATATGTAGATAAGTATGTCTGCTTCTGTTCCAGCAATTCTGCTTTACTTCCCTCCCAAAAAGTCTAGTTGTTGGTTTTCTTATTCATCCAGCATTTTTTGTTGCTGTCTTGCAGTAGGGCTATGTGAGGTCGACCCCTTAGGATTTTTCTTTGGGATTGAGGGGGTAGGTATCTTAACTTTCCTGTTTTCACAGCAGAGTTGATATAAATGACAAAACCAGACTAAAACTGTCAGAAGTTACCAAAACCTAAAAGAACTCCAATCAAATGAAGGCTAAACAGCTTTCAAGTTTTATTCTTCGAGTTTCTCAGGATCTCTTCCAGGTTCTGGTATTCGGAGCATTTTGAGATATATTTCATGATGTTTTGAGCCAAGATATGCTCCAAGTGCAACTTGGATGAAAGCAGCAAGTCTTGTCTTTCTGAAAATTGGTTTACTAAGCGATGTCCAGAATCGCAGTGCATTCTCTTTACTTGGCATGGGAGAAGTAGAGAACCTAGAAGACAGAAAATGTTATGAAGAGTTTGGCTAAGCATTGTGATAACCTATCAATTACAATTATGTCACTCTGTTGTAGAGGAGCTGTTTGCTAGTTTAAAAAGAACTCTATTACTGAAAGGGAAATAACTTGGTGACAGCTGCTTTCTAAAATTTACCATCTGTGAATATGAAGCTCATGTTAGGGAAAGAAGGATATGGATTTAGGTGTAAAACTGTTGCAATAAATAGATCTTAATGCCACATTTTAATTCATTAGATTCTGGAACCCTCTTCCCTCCTGTTGCAGTAGTCCTTGACTTGTGACTATTCGTTCAGTGACCATTCAAAGTTACATTGACGCTGAACTAGGGGGACTTACGATGGGTCCTTGGAGTTCCACCTATCGCAGCGTCCCCATGGTCATGTGATTGCGATCTGGGTGCTCAGCACCTGGCTCAAGGTTATAACACTGCAGCATCCCCAGTTATGTGATTGTGATTTCCGATGTTCCGTGGTGGCTTCCTACAAGCAAAGTCAGTGGGGAAGCTGGCAGGAAGTTGGAAGTCACAGTCACATGAGGTCCTTAATTACTTGCATGGTCCTTGACGATGGCAACCAGGACTGCCAGAATTGCCGTTGCTAAGCTATTCCAGTCCCAACTGCCATTGTAAGCTGAGGACTATTACTCTTACAGAGTTGAGGAAAACATTTAAATTAATAAAATAATTTGATACATAAGACAGGAAGGTGCAGAACCATAATTACGTAATTATGTTATATACATAATTATATGTTACACAATTATATCCAGATTTTGTTTCCTGCACTGTTCAACAATGAAAGATCAGCAATGAATGCTTGTACATGAAACAGATTATCTCACAAAACAGAGGTAAAGGGTAAATAGGATTTTTGGAATTATGCACAGAAATTCCAGAAAATGGAGGTTTATAATACTGAGAACATACATTTCTGTATACATGTGATTTTCAAGCAAATGGATAAACAATAAATTACAACAAAACATTTCTAAACAAACACAAAACAGAGTTTTGATTCCTGCAAATGAAAAGCTAGCAGAGTATTTACTGCATATTTGTAACCTTTTTCGGTTAACAGGGCTGAAACATACCTTGTGGCCAGCAATGCATTCAGAGGCAGTGCTAGAATAATGGGATAGAAATAGCCTATGACAGCTCCTACTAAGCCTCCTCTGATCAAAGCGCAGATTTCGCAGTTTAAATTACCTGAAACAATAACAATGAATTAAGCTAGTATTTTTGGTTTAAAATCCTTTCCAAGAAAAATTGCAGTGGACATACTGCATGCTAGCAACTTTCCTGTTGCAGGATTAGATAAGGTATGGGGTATATGACACAAAATGCTGTGTTCCAAGTTCCACTGGAACATTTAAAGTGGCTTGAATTCCAGTGGAACAAAACTCTAACTTTGTCAAAGGGAACTTGCAGCAAGCCCATGCTCCCTTATTTTTTATTCCATGAACCATAAATTAGCACAGTAGTCCATGCCAAGTTCTACCACATGACCTACAAAGTACCGTATTTTTCCATCAATAAGATGCCCCCATGTACAAGACAACCCCTTTTCCAACCCAAAATTAAGAAATCAATATTTTGAAGATAGTGCAGAACACATTTTTATT